ACAGGAGCCCTCCACACACACACATTTTAAAGCAAAGACAGTCTAAGTCAATGATTGTCTTCGGAAATACAAATCCTGCTTTTTATGAGTAAGGACCCAGGAGTTTGCCCTCCAAAGATCTCTCTGCTTGTGTCAGGAAAATTGGCAAACAAGAAAACAGAAAGAAAGAAAGTAGGTAGGTTGTTTTCTAGTAGTAAATACATAAGGATAGAGGGACAAAGCACAAAGCCACAAATTTTGAAAGTGATAGCCAAGAGGAGATACAAAAGATTCTGAAGCAGAACAGAGCAGCCTCATTTGGCAGGATTTCTAACTTGGTCTTAAAGTCATGGAGATGAATCAATAGAATCCAAGAAAAATTAAAAGTATTCATAGATAGATTATCTTGACCCCATCCCACATCCCCCACTGCCCAAAAGCAGAGCCTGAGAAAAGACCATGTAAGCAGGCAGTTTATCTAGGAGATGATTCTGGAGGGCAGAAGTGATAGACTGAGAAGAATAAGCTAGTGTAAGATAGTGTCATCAAGGTCATTGCTACAGGCAACTGGGACTTAATTTCCATGGTATCTAAAAATCATACACATGTGAAGCAGATGTTGCCCACCTAAAATAACTATCACAATGGAACTAAGTCTTTGTTGGAACCAGCAAACTTCAGCGAGTATGAGGGAATGTCAACTAACTGAATGAAAGTACACAAGGGTTCACCCAAGTGGCAGCCGTAATCAGAGGTATGATCAAGGTCATGGCAGACAAGGCACAATATTCAAAGGAAGGGAAAATTTCCCTGAGGTAAAGAATAACATCTAACTTAATAAACACTACAAATATAAATTCTGAGGAAGCCACCCAATGTAAATTAGAAAAGATAAAAGAAAGTCATATGAACTGTGATACTATTGGCTTCATCTTTATGCCAGGGGTTACCACTAAATTTGAAACATCAAAATTTTTTAAAAAACATTCCAAATGTTTAATCCCTTTTCTAATCTATATGGAATTCATTTAGGAAATACATCAATAATTCTTGAAATTGTACTTAGGGCTGCTTTTTTTTTGTTAAAATCAAACAAAAATAAGTTTAAAAGTTGAATGTCTTCCATGATAAAACTTAAGGAAAAAAAACCCAAAATAAAACTAATTACAACACAGCCCAGTTTTTATAAAGTTTATCCAGTCTATCTTCTTATTTTCCTGCCTATATACCTGGATAGAAATACCTCTAAAGAAGTGAACCAGTGTTAATGATAATGATTGTTTAAGGAAGAAATGCTCTTTTAAAAGTTCTTTGCAATTTTTTGCAATGAACAGTCATTATGATAGCAAAAATGAGACTTTTTTTCCTTATCAAACCACAACTATTAAAAGTACTTTTAAGAAATTTGAAGCTGAGTGTGGTGGCACATGCCTGTAAAAGGCATGGTGGCACATGCCTTTTTTTTGATGCATTTTTCACTGAAGGCACACTTCCCCTCTTGATAACACATACGTACAGAAGTGTTGCCACTTTCTGAAGCAGTTCTGGAAGTCCGTTTTTTTGTTTTTAGTTGTCCTCTTGTGGCTGCCTCAGTGTCCTGAATCAATTCAAAAGGTTTCCCTTTCATTATCGTTTTGACTTTGGGAAAGATCCAGAAGTCATATGGTGCCAGATCTGGTGAATAAGGTGGATGAGGACACACTGATCTTTTCATGAGCTTACTTTCTGTTGGATGGCACTTGGTAGCAGCATTTCACCGTATTTTTTATCACATCTTGTAAAGACATGAAAGAGGACTTCTAGAACTGCTTCAGAGAGTGACAAGGATGATAAGATAAGAATTTTTTTTTTGAAGCACCTGCATTTTATTAGTATTCACAGGCACCGGGGCTCAGAACAGGCTGGCTGGAACCTGGGACAGAACTGAAGTGGGGTCACTGCAGATGCGGCTAGTTGGGTCTTAGAGTGGCCAAAGTGGAATAGGAAGTGGAGTAGGAAGAACCTTGCCCCATCGGAGGAGTCTCAGCCTCCTGTCTATCGTGGCATTTTGGGCTCAGAAAGAGTGATTTTATAAATGTCAGTCAAGACCCACAGATGCGGCTGGTGCCCTCCGATTGTCCATCTGGGGGGCCCTCCTTGGCGGCTCTTCTCAGAGGGTGGAGGATAAGAATATTTGAAGCTAGGCTGGGAATGTAGCAGTCCTCGTGGGGATGGGGGCAGTTGAAGCAGGGGGGGAGTATTTTGAGAGGGATTAATGACAATGCGTCTTTTAATTTAACATTTGCTGTATATTTTGATCTCTGTGTGTGTGGCCTGTGTTCACATCTTAGCTTTTCCACTTAGATGTTCACATCTCAGCTTTTCCACTTACATTAATTCTCTGTACTTTATTTTCATTATTTGTGAAATGAAAGCTATAATAATATGATAGTCATTTGATTGTTCTAAGGAAAACTAAGGCATATAGGAAAGACGTACTTGTCATATAGGAATTATTTAGGACATGGGAGAATGTCTCTTCCACCCAGCTTCTAGTGTCTGGTTAGGGCATTGTTTCACAACTTTGGCTATGTATTATAATCTTGAAAGAAGTTTTTTTTTATAAGAATACAAATACACTACCTGTTTATTGTGTGTGTGTGTGTGTGTGTGTGTGTCTGTGTGTTGTGTGTGTGCGTGTCTAGTGCTGGGGATCGTATCCAGAGCCTCACATGCCAGGCAAGTGCTCTGCCACTTAGTTCACACCTAGCCCTTTTGTTTTGTTGAACCCCTGCTATTCTGATAAATAAAGCTTTGATAGGACTTGAGGATAAGATTTTCTCTAGTATTTACTTGTTTATTTTTAAGTGCCAAAAGATTTTTGTCTGGTTTTATTTATTTTTCATGGTACTAGGAATTGATCCCAGGGCCTTCGAACTGAGCTGCATACTTAGCCCTTCCCTCTTTTAAAAAAATTTTTCTTTTGTAACAGGGTCTTAATAAGTCACTGAGTTGCCCAGGCTGGGCTTGAACTTGGAATTTCCCTGCCTCAGCCTCCCAGAATGCTGGGATGCTTTTTCCATTTTATTCACTGCTGAATCCCCAACACTTAGAACAATATTTGGCAAATAGTAGCCACTCAGTAAATATTTTTAAATTTAAAAAATTATCTTTGGATTCTCAGTGGTTCATCTCTCCTCTTTCTATACCATTTAAAAATTTTTAAAAGATCAAATTCACTGTTAGATAAAAGGTGAACAGTTTGCTGCTTTATGATCAAAGCCTCTCCTCACTGTCAACCCCTAGCAACCACAGATCTATCGTTCATCCTTAAGTTATGGGCTTTTCAGAATGTTGGGTTCAAAATTCATGATGCATTTGAGATTCATATATTTTGTAAATCTATTGATAATAGAGTATTTTGGGTCTTCAATGTAAAGTATATCATCAGCAAATAATGACAGTTTAACTTCTTCCTTTCCTATTTTTATTTCTTTCTCTTTTCTAATTGCTGTGGCTAATGTTCAAGAACAGTATTAAACAGGAGTGGTGATAGTGGGCGTCCTTGTCTTGTTCCTGATTTTAGCATGAAAGTTTTCAGTTTTTGACCATTCAGTATGATGTTGGCTGTTGGTTTTTCATAGATAGCCTTAATCAAGTTGAGATAAAGACCTTCTATTCCAATTTTCTGTAGGGTTTTTATCATAAATAGGTGTTGGATTTTCTTGAATACCTTTTCTGCATCTATTGATATAATCATATGGTTTTTGTCCTTGAGTCCTTTGATATAATGTATTATGTTTATTGATTTACGAATGTGGGAAAAAATTTTCAGGAACTGTACCTTAGACAAAGGACTACTATCTAGAATATATAAAAAACTGAAAAAAATCAGACCCCCCCAAATTCAAAGACCCAATTCAAAAATGAGCATCTGAAATGAACAGAAATTTCTCAGACAAAGAAGTAAAAGCAGCAAATAAATATACGAAAAAATGTTCAACATCACTGGTTATTTGAGAGATGCAGATGAAAACAACACTGAGATTCCACCTCACCCCAGAAAGAATGGCTGCTATTAAGAAATCATCTAATAACAAATGCTGGCGGGGGTGTGGGGAGAAAGGAACCTTTCTCCATTGTTAGTGGGAGTGCAAATTGGTGCAACCACTGTGGAAATCAGTATGGAGATACCTCAAAGAATTAGGGTTAGAGGTCCCATTCGGCCCAGCTATCCCCCTGCTGGGTATCTTCACAAAAGAATTAAAAGAATCTTACCATAGCAATATATGTACACGCATGTTTATAGCTGCATAGTTCGTAATAGCTAAAGCTTGGAAACAGCCCAAGTGCCCATCAACAGGAGACTGAATAAAGAAAATGTGGTTTTTTTGTAAAATGGAGTACTACTCAGCCATAAAGAATGAGAAACTAGAGACATAGCTAAATGGATGCATATTGAGGCCATCCTCTTAAGTGAAATAAATAGGACACACATGTGTAAATACTGAATAGTTTCTCTAGTGTGAGAAACTGAAAGTGTAATTAAGGATACACACAGACGAAATTGCCCAATAACATATTTCTCAGATTGTGTTTCCATCGCGTGTCCTATGACTGTATCGAAATTTAAATCAGGGAGAAGTTTGGCTTATGTGGAGTCTGCTAGCTAACTGGAGTTTTTTTTCCAGATCATTATTTGTTCAATGTTGGTTATGGGGACCTTTCTGAAACAAATCACATCCTCTGGTGTCTTGTTGGTGCTTGAGATACTTTTGTAAGTTATATGGAAAAATGTTTAAGTGCTTTTCAGTTCTGTTTTGGTTGAGTTCTACTGTATTTGAATATTATTGTAGTTTTTTTCCCCTTGCATTGTTCTTCTTTGAGTGGTTTTAATTTTTTGTATGTGTGTGTGTTTGATAATAAAGTTATTTAATAAAAAATATTGATAATATATTCTTTTTGAGGCTAAGTATTATTCCATTGAATCTGGAACAAATACACCAACGCTCTTGTCCTGTTTTGTTCTTTTTGATGTTTAGCTTTCCAGAGTGCTGGATCTTCCACCTGAAAACTTGATCAAGTCAATATCTGCAATTCCAGTTTCCAAAAAAGAGTTAAGTATGATGTATTTGTAACAGTTAAAATGTTGCTAATTTGTTGATAATTCAAAACAGTGTTACTCTTCAATTTTAGAACAGTCTTTTAAATTAACCACAGATATTGTTCATTATATTCAACCTATTGTCCTATTATTCCAGTTGATTTAATAAAATTAAAATATGTATTTTAGGTACTCTCGACAGGTAACAGTATTCATATGTTAATTGTTTGGATGTTTTCTTATGCTATTAATGATAATTATATCAATCTTTGGGAACAAGTTTCAGATTTTGTTATGTAACAATAAATAAAAGAACTAAAATTGTGATAGCAACTTCAAAATCAGTTATCTATTTCCTAAATCTGTTAGGTACATTCTACATAATAAGGATGTTACTAGAATTTCAGGGCAAAAGCCCCAGCTCTGGGGGTTCCAACAGACCAGGCTCAGCCGTGTGTCCCATAATGCTAATCAAGATGAGCAGTGGTGCCAGCACGGTGATCCATGCCTGTAATCCCACTACTCAGATCCCTGTGAGCTCAAGGCCAGCCTGGGCCACAGTGAGTTCAAGGCCTGCTTGAACTACACAGCAAGACCCTGTCTGAAGAAACAAAACAAAATAAAATAAAAGATGAGCAGTGGTGAAGAGCAGGAAAGGAGTTTTAAATTACCATGGCCATCCTAGGAAGCACAGATAAAGAGGTTCAAGATCGTCTTGGGGGCTGACAGAAGCTTTGGGGGTTTTATAGAAAGGTGAACCAAAGCAAGGGTTGGGGTTTTGCACAGCTGACAAAAAGAACGTCAAAAAGAACAAAACAGGACAAGAGCTTTGGTGTATTTGTTCCAGATTCAATGGAATAATACTTAGCCTCAAAAAGAATATATTATCAATTTTTTTTATTAAATAACTTTATTATCAAACACGTACATATACAAAAAATTAAAACCACTCAAAGAAGTACAATGCAAGGGGAAAAAAAACTACAAGCCTTGGTCTAGCTGATTGATATTTCAAGACTGGTTCTCTGAGGTTCTGGGAGAGCCATCATGACTTGAAGAGGCAGTTTGGTTCCAATCTTGAGATAACAGCTTCTGCTTGAGGGGGAGCCTTGGTTCTTCTCATAAGGTCTGTTATGGGAGATAACCTCCTGGAGTGGTCTGTGCTTTTCCTGGAATACAAAGTGACTGTAGGTTTAGGACAATGATTGGAAACTTCTAGGCACTATTCCAGGGGTTCTGGAACTGAATATTATAAAAGCTTGGCAACTGGATATTCTTATACATCCTTAAGCCTAGTTTAGTAACTCTTATCATGGTGTCCTTGGTCATGAAGGGGAATGAGATAGGCTGAGTAAATTTAAGACTAATGAACTCTGTAATACAAATACTTCTTAAATGATTAACAAGTCTATTTGCAGAGCTGAGCGATGATGTGATCCAAAGTTTTAAGGTAATAAAGGAGATATAGAAAATTAGTGCAGATATACTAAGCCTTATCCTGCTTTTATTTACTGTTGGGAATGTGCAGGTCCAGCCTTTAGATCCTTGTTACAGGGGGAGTATCTGAATTTTAATCTTGTTTCAAAGACATTTAATAAGCTGAATTATCTCAGCCCATCCTATGAACAGGATTTCTTTTACCTGCCTCTACTTCAATAATCCAAAGTACCAAAACTTTGATTAATAGGAAATAAGTGTTAAGCATAGCTTCAAAACTTTTCAGGGCTACAAGTCTAAAATTCTGTGTATTAAGTTTACTCAAAACAGACATACCTATAATCCTAGCACTCTGGGAGACGAAGGCAGGAGGATCACAAATTTGAGCCTAGCCGGACAATTTAGTGACTTAGTAAGATCCTGTCTCAAAGAATGAAAAGGCTGAGGATGTAGCTCAGTGCGAAGGCCTTGAGTTCAATCCCCAGCACTGAAAAAAAGAAGAGTTTAGTCAAAACAGAGGTAACTTCTATGGCTTTGCCGTAATAAGCCCAGGTTCTCTTATAGTCCTAAGTACCAGCAAAATTAAAAAACATTATTTAATGTAATATGAATCAGTTTGCTCAGGACTGCTGGTTCTCTCAATTATATTTTTAGCTATGGTGGCTTTCCTGTATAATATTGATGGTACTGTATTAGAATTAAGAACTATGTTATAAGCTGTTAGCACTCAGGTCTGTGGATTTCACACTAAACAACACTACAATATTTCTGAGGAGTAGTGGGAAAATAGCTATTCCCTTTTAAACTTGTTTTTAACTTTTAAAAAATGAAAGGGGAGGAACTAATTTAATAAACTATGGGTCTATTACCTGCCATCATCTCCATAAGACCAATTGTTTCATCTATACAAAAACCCTATTTCATCCCTCACATTGGAACATTTTAATATCTTTCATTGTGGCAGGGTAGTACTCCATTGTGTATAAATGCCACATTTTGTTTATTTTTCATTTGTTCATGGACTTATAGACTGCTTCCAGGATTTAGCTATTATGAATTGTGTTGCTGTTAACATGGGTATGCATGTAGCACTGTGATATGATGTCTTTAACTCTTCTGAGAAGATACCTAGAAAGGGAATAGCTGCGTCAAATGGAATCTGATTATAATTTTTTTGAGGAATCCATACTGATTTCCATAGTGGTTGTACCAGTTTACATTCCCACCAATGATGTAAAAATTTTCTTTTTTTTCCTGCAGCCTTGCTAGGATTTGTTACTTGATTTCTTAATGATGGCATTCATTCTGGTGTAAGATGGAATCTCAGTGTTGTTTTATTTTGCATTTTTCTAATGGTCAGTGATGTCAAGTATTCATGTATTTAGTGGCCATTTATACTTCTGAGTGTCTATCATTTCAGTTGTCCATTTTTTATTGGGCCTTTTATTTTGAGAGGGGGTCTAATTTTTTCTTTGAGTTCTTTATATATTCTAGATATTAGTCCTCTAGGGAATAGCTAGCAAAATTTTTTTCCCATTCTGTAGGTTGTCTTTTCACTGTTGGTTTTCTTTTTTTTGGTACCGGGGATCAAACTCGAATCCTTGCACTTGCAAGGCAGGCGGCAGAACCACTGAGCTAAATCCCCAGCCCTGTTAGTTTTCTTTTGCTGTGTAGAAGCTTTCTAATTTGATATCTCATTTGTTGATTCTTGGTATTATTGCTTGTGCTACTGGTTCTGTTCAGTAAGTCTTTGCCTACACCTATGTCTTCAAGAGTTTTACTTATTTTATCTTTCATCAGGTTGTTTCTGTTTTAACATTTAGTTCTTTGAGTTTAGCTATTTCATGCTGAGAGATATGAGTCTAGATTCATTGTTCTGCATGTGGATAGCCAGTTTTCTGATCATTTATCAAAGAGTTTGTATTACCTCAGTATATATTTTTGACCCCTTTGTCAAAGACCAAATAGTTGAATGTGCTTGGGTTTGTTTCTGCATCCTCTATTCTGTTCCATTGATCCTCATGTCTGTTTTTGTGCCAATACGATGCTCGTTTTATCACTGTAGTTTTGTAATGTAACTTCAAATCCAGGATTGTGATACCTTCTGCTTTGCTCTTGTCACTCAGGGTTGTTTTTGATGTTCTGGGTTCTGGTTCAGTATGAATTTTAGGTATTTTCCCCAGTTCTGTGAGGAATGCTTTTGGTATTTTGATTGGGATTGCGTTAAATGTGTGTATCAAGTTTAGAAGTATGGTCATTTTGACTATATTGGTTCTGCCTATCCAGGAACAGGGCATATCTTTCCATTTTCTGATGTCTTCTTTGATCTCTTTTTTTCAGCATACTGTGGTGTTTGTTGTAGAGGTTTTTTGCTTCTTTAGATTAATTCCTAAGTGTTTAATTTTTCTTGATGCAATTGTAAATTATTACTGTACAGGACAGCTATCGATTTTTGTGTGTTGATTCTGTATCCTGCAACATTACTGAATTTGGTTATTCTAAGAGTCTTTTGGTGGGTTTTTAAAGTCTTTTGTGTAGAGGATCATGTTATCTGCAAATAATGATAATTTGACTTCCTCCTTTCCTATATATATTCTTTTGTTTCTTTTTCTTCCCAAATTGCTCTTGATAATGTTTTGAGTACTATGTTGAACAAAAGAATTTTTAAAAAGGAAACTGTCCCCAGTATTCTTACTTCTGTAAGATAACTGAGTCTAGCAAGTTGGTGTAATTTTCATCTATTCTCTTTGAACGTTTTTCAGAATTTTTTTAAGGTAGCTATAAAACTGCATACAAAAATGTAATAATTTTTTAGCTCTTTTTCCTTGACATTATTCTCTTTTGTAATGTTCTAACATTCTACTGCTGATGAACATTTAGTTTGTTTTTCAGTTTTGAAATTTTTATATATAATTCAAAATATAAGAATCACCTCTTTCTGGGGAAAAAGTGTACATGAGTAAGCAATGTGGAAAAGCATTCACTACACATATGTGTTATACATGAAAAAAGTCACACTGGGGAGAAACACTATGCATGTAAACAATGTGGGAAAGCATTCATTGGTCGCAGAGGAAACTTAAGTGGTCAAGGTGGCTTTGGTGGCTGCCATGGTGGAGGTGGATATGATGGCAGTGGGGATGACTACAATGGATTGGGTAATGATCGAAGCAGTTTTGGAGGTGGTGGAAGTTGCAGTGATTTTGGCAATTACAACAATCACTTTTCAAGTTTTGGACCCATAAAGGGAGGAAACCTTGAAGGCAGAAGCTCTGGGCCCTATGGTGATGGGCCCAACCATGAAACAAAGGTGGGAATGGCAGTTCCAGCAGCAGCAGTAGCTATGACAGGGGCAGAAAGTTTTACTACTTCCAAGAAACAAAGCTTAGCAAGAGAGGAGAGCCAGAGAAATGACAGAGAAACTACAGGTACAACAGATTTGTGGACTCAGCCATGCACAGTGGTGGCAAGGCCTAGCTGCTACAAAGAAGACATATTTTAGACAATACTCATATGTATGGGTAAAAATACTTGACTGTATTTGTGGCTAATTGTATAACAGGTTATTTTAGTTT